TCTGTCTGGGCACAAAATAACCGAGCCACCACAAAAACTTGTAGATTCCAACAGCAACTCTTTATTCCCGAACTCTCACCAACACTCTACACGCGCATGTTCTAGGAAAAATACACTCCCTCCACCAGGCTCTGCGTACCAATTCTCTCAGAACCCCGCGAGAACAACAGGAACTCAAGGAGCGGGCACCTGAGGCAGCAGGATATGCCCTAATCCCAGCAGGATCCGCCCTAAACCTGGAGCCACCCTATTCCAGCAGGATCCACCCTAAACCCGGAGCCACCCTAATCCCTGAGCAGGGTCACCTTTCAACCCAAAAATGCCATGCGTCATTCCTACTTGGCTATGGCTCTCAGCATCTCCCCCCTTCTGTTTAAATAAACAACAAGCAATGTGGCTTAGAGACCCTGCCTGTTAGGTTGTCCAATTCAACATATGGTACTTACCCGTCATCGGATGAGCTGACCTCTAGGCGTCAGCCTCCTGTCTTAGGTTGGTACCACTGCAATTGGATCATACCCGTCACTGACTACCAGTCCAGCATACAGCCATACTTGTGGATAGGCCTATGCACCAGTGGGGGGGGTGAGGTTCTTTGCCTCACCTCTGTTGGCCTCCAAATTTGGCCTTGGTGCCAGTGGGGGGGTGAGGTTCTTTGCCTCACCTCTGTTGGCCCCCAAATTTTAGACCATCACTAGCAGAAGGGAGGAGGATACAGAAATGCCAAGACACCAAGCCAATTGACGGCTCCTTTGGAAAAATTGTATCACCGGTGACACCATCAGCAAAGATAGGCCAGCACTACCACAATTCGCTGCACCAACAGATAGTTCACAATGCATAAAAGTGATACATAGTCCAGGCAAGTTCTGAAAGCAGTTCAAAGCGGAGGAATCTATCAATATGTCCATTTCCTCCCAAAGTAAATCAACTCCTTGATTGAGCATTTCTTGTTGAGTTATTATTCATTGATGCATCAGTTTATACAGTTTACTGTGATAGCTATCATAGAAGCTGCAGTTTGGTTTTATCTTTGTCTTCACTGGCACTGGGATGAAGATAGGAATTCTGGTAATAATGCTAAAAAAATATGTAACATTCCAACAGGTACTAAGAAAACAATTTTCTGAACAATTTACATTATCCTGAACAGAATTATTAAATATAATGAAAAGGAAAGGTGAAAGTAAACAAACAGATCTGTTTACCACCTTTAAAAACAATCCTTAACAGCTGTTTACCTAATTTAAATTAAACCATTTAAATCACATGAATAAAAAAAAATTCGGATCCATTTTTTCATGAGTGCTCCTCATATATGATATATGGACATACGCACACACAGACATACAACACAAAACACAAGAGTGCACACAAAAGTACAACACATAAGACAATAGTAAAGGCCTTGTAGCTTTACACAGGTGAAATCTCCATTGCAATGTTTAAAAACTCCACAGTCAAAAAATGAAACTGATCAGAAAAACATTAACCTAGGTTTGTATGAGCTCAAAAAATAAAATAGAACTTTATGATGTGGGAAAAGGCAATAATAAAATAGATATTGAAAAAAGCATCCTGGTTAATCACTGTCGCAGATATAAGAATAGCCAAGCTGGAGCTCTGGATATCAGCTGTTATGGATTTGAGTCAAATCATCTTTTTGGTCTGTAGAAATTGTTTTGGTTAGTCTCCCTGGAATCCAAATCGGCTGCTGTTCTCCCTGTGGAAACTCACAAACAGAACCCCGACTCCAGACAATCACTGGGTCAGGAGCTTTCCATTATCCTGTTAGCATATAAGTACATTTTAATAGTTTAATGAGCTCTTTCAACTATGCCTTGTCCTTGTGGATTGTATGGGATTCCTGTTAAGTAAAACATTAACTGATTTTTCTTTAGGGATGATGTTCCAAAATATCCTATATGCATCCTTTGGAAATTTAAAGATCCTTTTAAATTCAAGTCTTCCAAAAGCATTTTTCCTTAGTTTTTAGAATTACTTTAGTCCTTTTAATTTTTTGATGTGGTTTTAAACCAATTTCCTTCTAGTTTAACGTTTTCTAAATTGGCTCTTGTCTGTAAATTTTAACACCTTCATCTGAGACTTCTAATATCTGCACCACCAGAAATTAAAGTTGATGGGCTTTTTGAAAAAATTAATATTAATCTCCTTGTTCTTCTATTTTATCCAATATTTGACTTTAAACTTCTCTCTTCTACCTTTCTCTATCTCGAATGTCTGTATCTAATAGTTGTCTTAGCTTTTTGTATTTTTTATCTGAAATACCTTTATTTGACATTTTTAACCATTTTTTGTCTTGTTTCTATCTTCTAGTTTTCTTCTAAGGTTTGTACATTCACCCTTAATTGCTTTTTTTTTCTCCTAGTTTTTTTTTTTTCTTGTTGTTTGTTTGTTTCCTATTTTGGGTGTTTAAAATTCTTGTCTTCCTACATCTTTTCTATGTTCCTACATCTTCTCTATCTTTTTTTTTTTTTTTTTTACCTTTCTGTACTTCTGTCTTTAAAGTTTTTCACTTCAAATTTTTAATCTTCTTTATCCAAATATTTTTATATCTTTTTAAGTAATGCTTTTAAGAATAACTAGGCTTCGAATGACGCAATCTTTCCTCCGCCATGAAGGCATCTTAACCACCTTCAATTTAACCTTTTAAAGCCTTCCAATTATCACCTATACTGTACTTTTAAACGTACTTTTTCACCACCTACAGCTTCACTCTTTTAAATGAGGCTTAGATTCTGTTTAAATCGCTTAATGTTAGTTTACATGGCTGCCCTTCAACTAAAGGCTTTTTTTTTTTTTTTACTCCATTAAGAAGCTTTGTCTCAATCTGCCATGTACAAATACCTTTTTCTTCTTTCTTCCTTTCTCAAGCTTTTAAAGTAAGTCTAGTTTCCTCAAAATCTTTTTAAATGGCATTTTACAACTTTTTACTTTACCACACAGAGATTATCTCATCTAGAAACATTTCTTTTTTTTAAACCTTTATATTAAAATATATTTCCACATCTTGAATCTTTTTATATCTCTTTTGTAGCTGTTAACCCTTTTTAAGAATTTACATTGTGAAACAACCCTTATAAAATTTCTGAATTTAGACAAATTACTCCACTTTAATAAGATGAAATACTTTCATGTTTTTTATGGTACTATAATACTATAATTGAAACCCAACTGAAACTTCCTATACTCTTTGTATATAAATTACACCTGATAAAATCTTAACTCTTAGTAACCTTGTTTCAGCAAAGACACAGACACAAAGCAATATTAAACTTTTTTTTTTCCATTTACCAATTTATGAAAACACACATAATGTTTAAATAAACCTTATGGAACTTAATAAGTAAAGAGCACTTGATTTTATATTTAGTGGTTGATGTTTCAACACTTTAGCTTTGTAAATTAATCAGATGTCTGTAAAAACCAAGATCTTAGACAAGTGTAGTAAACAGAACTAGCCATCTCTTTCTTATTGAAGAAAAATCCTTCTACAGGATACCATGATGGTCCCATTGATATACTTAATAACTCGTCTTTAAAAAGCCATGAGCTACATTTTTGTATTGTATCAACATATGTCCTAACTGTTCTTGGTCTTACTGGGGTGCCTCCTTCCTCTAACAATTTCTCTTCCTCAGGGGCGAACAACTTCAAACCTTGAGTCAACCATTTTTCCCAGTTTGCCTGTGAAAGTTCTAGGGATAGGCAGCTTGAAACAAAAACAAGATAAATCAAAACAAGAACATATTGTTTTTTGAAATGGTCACCCATTCTCTCGCCTTCCCTCAGGGGCGAGTAATTTCACTTACCTCCAAGCTTCAGGCCTTCCCCGTATGGGCCGCCAAATGCCGCAGTCTGGGCACAAAATAACCGAGCCACCACAAAAACTTGTAGATTCCAACAGCAACTCTTTATTCCCGAACTCTCACCAACACTCTACACACACACGTTCTGGGAAAAATACACTCCCTCCACCAGGCTCTGCGTACCAATTCTCTCAGAACCCCGCGAGAACAACAGGAACTCAAGGAGCGGGCACCTGAGGCAGCAGGATATGCCCTAATCCCAGCAGGATCCGCCCTAAACCTGGAGCCACCCTATTCCAGCAGGATCTACCCTAAACCCAGAGCCACCCTAATCCCTGAGCAGGGTCACCTTTCAACCCAAAAATGCCATGCGTCATTCCTACTTGGTTATGGCTCTCAGCATCCAGTAGTTAATATGGTCTTTGAAACCTGACTGCCTGGGTTTAAATTCCTCTCTCAGATAGTATCCATGGAGCCTTAGACCTTCAGTCTCAGATGAAATAATGGGGACAATATTCATGTGTTCCTCATGGGATTGTGACAGTTAGGCAAGCTATTGGAAGTACTTAGCACAAGTACTAGCACCAGGAAGAACCCAATAGTGAGTGGCTGTAATGATGATGGGAAGCACCCAGCACTGTTTGAAACATCGGAGAGACTCAATAAATGCTAATTTCCCACCACCCTCTTTTCCCCAGGTCAAGAAGGATTCATATGCCATGGACATGCAGATTCCACTTCAGATCTCATCACATCTGGGTGTCACAAACTGTCACAGAACACTTCCAGGGCAAGGTTCATGACCCAAGACCAATGGCTTTCTTCTAGGAACATTGCTCAGCTTCAAGACCATTAACACCAAGCAGGAATCCAGTCAGTGTAGAAGAAAATTTATTCATTTGTGAAAACATTCTCAAAGTACAAAAAAGGGTATCAAAAATGTAGTTCAGGGCTGGGGATGTAGCTCAGTGGCAGAGAGTGCTTGCCTCATATGCTTGAGGCCCTGATTTTGATCCCCAGCACCACAAAAATAAAAAATATGTGGCCTGGCAGAGCAAGTCTGAAAGCAAAGGACCAATCAGCCACACTGTGAAGGCTGTAGCCTCCCTGAGAAAAGCTACCCCTATGGCAGCAGCCAGGGAGGTCAGGAAACCCCAAGGGAACAGGTGTGGGATGAGAGGAAATGGTGGAGAAGGAGGCTTGAAGCAGGGGAGAAGGGGCTACAGCAGAGTGCTGGGAAGAAGGCCGGGTGGAAAGAAGCAGGAAACAGATCGGAGAAAAGAGCCCACTAATTTCTCCTCAGAAGTCCTCTGTCTTTAGACAGGAGAAGAATCCCCCATGAAGCACCAAGACCAAGTCCAGTTCCTCCCAAACTGCCCCGGGGCACTTGCCCACTACCTGCCTCCAAAACAAGGCTGTCACTAGGGCAGGAGGTGTCATGAAATTATCTAGGAAGGTTGGACTTGCATTTAAGCCACAGTTTAGGATCCCTCCATCCACATCCTGGTTTTGGATTTGATTTCAGCATGCTCTAAATGGTATTCAGAGCAGCTGCAGGAAGAACTGGGTAAGGCTTGGAAGACTGGTCTCCAGCTTCAGCATGGAGGTCGCTGAAGGAAATTGTCCACAGTGCCATAGAAGACGCAGGTGGCCCCAGAGGCATCCGTGCTTCATGAATATCAGTCATCCTGGAGCAATCCAAAGGGGGTAAAAAGTAAAGAGAGGTGAACAGAGCATATTTCATAAAAGTTTTCTGTAAGTCATCAAACTAAGGGCTCAATGCACGATGCCCATAGGACCCTTGGCCATGTGCCTTGTCCTCACATAATTAGAGCTGACCCCAGAGCCAGCCTGGCCAGTCCACTATTTGTCGACTGGCTTTATTAAGACAGAATCGGGTCTAGACCTTCCGCACTACCTGCCCTGGCTTTCTTTGGCCAAATTCATCTTCATCATGAGAGGAGGATACCAGTTTTCTTTAACTTCTTTGCTCTAACTGTTCTATCTGGGGTCTTTTTACATCAATTCAAATCTTCAGGTGAAATGTACTTCAGAAAATTGGCTTTGAATCAGCTGAGGATCAACTAGAAGGCTGACCTTCAGTATAAGAAACACTAGATAGGACCAAGTCAGCCATTTTCTGGCCACATCAGGCAGGGAGCCCAGACCAAGGAGAAAAAAACACGTACTCAGCGGCTCAGAGGCTTCCTTTCCAAAAAGAAAGGTCTCCTTAAAGGAATCTCCCTGATGTTTATACACTCTGGGGAATTTTGCAGAACTCCATAAAAATTAGGGGGTACAGTTTATCCTGCTATGTCCTCGTCTGAGCCCCAACTACAATGAGTATGTACAAAATTCCAGCCAAGAGATAACAAGCACACCAAAGCCGCCTCCTTGTCTTACCCACTCCTCATCCTCTGCCCCATCTCCCTGCTCTCGGATCTCCACTGCAGCCCCATCTGAAGACTTCTGGGCCATGATGTTGTCTGTCCAGGATGCCCCTGTCTTTCGGTCACCAGCAAAATTACACTTGGTCACTGTTCCAGCCTCCAGTTTGGCTAATGAATCTGAAAGAAGAGAAGAAGTTGAATGTCCTATCTCTGTGGTAGAACAGTGAGGGCTGGGCCCATTCTGGTAGGCCTAGACCTGGGTTAAGTCATTGTTCTCTCCAGGTCTAGATGTGGTCAGTGAAGCCATGGGTGCACCCCACAAATCACTAGATAGCAGGGGTTAGTCACAGGAACCTGAGGATTGGGTGGCACCATAGGTATCCAGGTTAATGACCCAGGGCACTTGTCTAGGAACTGAGGAATAAATCTCAAGGGGTTGGTTAGGTCCCCAGGAAAGGCTAGACCTGGTATGCACCCATAATTCTAAGCAGGAAAGGTGGAGAGCCTCAGAAGGGACGTTAAAGGCCCCCAGAGCCCACAAGAGGCTATCAGGCTAGAGTGAAGGCATACTGCTCACCTATAAAGGGGCCATCACCCCGAGTTTTCAGCCGTACCCCAGCCCCCAGCTCAAGTTCCACCGCCTCCATCTCTGACTCAGGCATCCAGAACGCCACTGTCTGGTCGGGGGTGAGGCTCTCTGTCAGTGCCAGCAGCTCGAGCTTATTGACCAGCCCCTTTAGCTCCTCCATTGTGAGCCTGTCGCTGTCTCCCTTGGCTTCCACTTCTGCAGGCACACAGAACAGCAGGTTATTAAGGGTGAATAGCAAGGACTAACAGAGGGCCTTTTAGGTGATGGCTGAGTGTTTTTGTAGATCTAAGGATTGAGCCCAAGGATGTTCTACCACTAAGCTACATCCCTAGCCCTTTTCATTTTTTTATTTTGAAGCAGAATTTTGCTGAGTTTCCCAGGCTGGTCTTGAACTTGAGATACTCCTTAGAATCTTTGTGAGCAGCTGGGATTACAGGCATGTGCCACCAGGCCCAGCTGGCTGAGTGTTTTACATGCTCACAACCACCTGCAGGGTAGGGCTCTCAGTACCATTCTGGTAGTATTCATCAGAGGAGCTACAGGCTGGACTTTGGAGCTAGGCTGCCTAGAGCAAATCTGGACAAATAACTCAACTTCTGACACTGAAAAATAGGGATAAAAATGGTGCCTACCCAACAGGACCCATTCATGGTGCCATAGCCTTGGCCAGTAGTCAGGATCACCCCTGGGACTCCCCCAGAAAACCTTGCTTACGCAGAGGACACTCAAAATGTTCCATTCTCCTCAATCCTTTCCCCTGACCAACAACTCCCAAATAAACCATCTCACCTACTTTTCAAGATTAACAGAAATCATCAGGTGGTATCTCTTGCTTACCTGACACCAAATACCTTGTCAATTTGCCTCTGACTACAAGACCACTCTCCTCTTTTCCTTCTATCTCAAAGGATAAGACATTCTCCCTCCTGCCCAGAGCCTGTCCCTCCACCTGGGTCCCAGAAATCCTCATTCCTCCAGGGCTGGTCTGTCATTCTATGCTCCCTGATCTTTCCTCAACTTCTTCTTGCATTCTAGTTTTGACAGCCACTACCCCAGACCCTGCCCACCCCCATCAGATACCTGGAATAGCTCTTCACTGTTAACCCTCTGACACTTTTCCCATCTTCTCATTCCCTGGACATTACCTGCCTGCCCTGCTAGCTCCCCACTCCTGCTTCCCTTCAGAGACGTAACACCTTCCCCATTTCCTTCAGACTTCTCCAGTGGTTCTGTTTCCTGATCCTTATGGGATTCTCCAAGTCTCCATTTCTCCAAGTCTCCAATAGAAGTGCTACTGACAACTCTAACCTAGTGTGAGCCAAACAGTGTTCTTCCCCCTAAACCTGTTCCCCTCACCCCTACATTCCCCCAAGCCTGGCACCCAAGTCCAACTTCTGGAAACATCCCTGACTCCTTCCACTTTCTCCCTTCATATCCAGCCTAACCCTGAGGCCACTGTCCATCTCCATATGGAATTGGTCCAGTCTCTCACTCCCCAATGACATATCCTTCAATCTGGTCCTCTTATCTCCATCCCAGCTTACCCTAACAGCCTCTAAATAGGCTTCCCTGGTTTCCAATTGATTCACTATCCCAGAGCATTTACAACCAAATCTAGCCAGGCATAGTGGCACACACCTATAATCCCAGCAACTTAGGAGGCAGAGGCAGGAGGATCACAAGTTTGAGGCCAGTCTCAATAACTTAGCAAGACCTTGTCTCAAAATAAAAAATAAAAGCACTGGGGATATAACTCAAGGGTAGAGTGCCACCTGGGTCCAACCCCTAGTGCTGCAAAAATAAATAAATAAATAAAATAATAAAAACAAATTTAATCACATCACTTAGCTACCTAATATCTCTCATTAAAGGGCTCCCCAGCAGCCTCCATTTAAGTTCAGCCCCTTCGTGCCCATGCCCCTTTTGCTACCTAGCCTGCACAACTTCTTGTCACCAGATCAATCCCTATCTTTTGATGCACTGTCTTCTCTCTGAAACATCCTTCCAAGCTCTAGCACCCAGCTAATTCCTGTTATCTATCAAGAATCAGTGCTGCTGGTCCCTCGTCCAATGCATGGCTGACTATGACTACCTGGGGCTCAGAACCCTCCCAGCTTCCAATCATCCACTCGTCCATCTTCTCTACCAACTGAGACTATCTTGAGTACAAGATGGAATCCTGTTCATCCCTGGAGTCTCAGCATGTGGGATGTTCACAAAATATTCAGAGAATTAATGAGCAACTGAAAACATGAGTGAACAGAATGAGAGATTCCCACTCAATCTCAAAACCTTCTTACCCAGCAGCAGAAAGCAATGAGATACCTTTTGCAGTCAAAATTGGGAAATGGAAGAAAATCATGAAATACCTTCTAAGGTCTTAATGTGCCTCCTTGAAATCCATATGTTGATCACTGTTATGGTTTGGATGTGAGGTATCCCCAAAAGCTCATGTGTGAGAAAATGCAAGAAGGTTCAGAGGAGAAATGACTTGGTTATGAGAGCCTCAATCCAATCAGTGAGTTAATCCCCTGATGGGAATTAATTGACTGACAACTGAACGTGGGTAAAATGCGGCTAGAGGAGGTGAGCACTGGGGGCCTGTTTTGGGGGGTATGTATTTCTTATCTCTCTCTGCTTCCTGATCATCATGTGAGCTGCTTTCTTCCACCACACTATTCTGCCATAATGTTTTGCCTCACTTTGAGCCCTGAGGAATGGAGCTGGCTTCCTATGGACTGAGACCATAAAACTGTGAGTCCCCAAATAAACTTTTCCTCCTTAAAATTGTTCTTGTCAGTTCTTTTAGTCACAGTAGTGAAAAAGCTGACTAAGTCACCAATGTGAGAGTATTAAGAAGTTGGGTCTTTTGGAGGTGATTAAGCCCTTATGAATGAGATTGACATCCTTATAAACGAGATGGAGGGAGCCTGGCATGGTGGCACATGCCTGTAATCTCAGCAACTTGGGAGGTTGAAGAAGGAGGATCATAAATTCAAGGCCAGCCTCAGCAACTTAGTGAGACTCTGTCTCAAAATAAAAATTAAAAAGGGTTGGAGAGATAGCTCAATGATTAAGCATCCCTGGGTTCAATCCTCAGTACCCAAATAAATAAGTAAATAAACAAGGTGGAGGGAGCTACTTTGCCTTTCTGCCTTGTGAGGACTTAGCAGGAAGGCACCATCCTTGAGGCAGAGAGAAGCCTTCGCCAGACGCTGAATCTGCTAGAATCTTGATCTTGGATTTCCAAACCTCCAGCACTGTGCATAATAAATCTCTGTCATTTATAAATTGCCCAGTCTAAAACATGGTTGTATCAGCACAAATGGACAGAGACAGGGCCCAAGAACCAAATGGGGATTCTAGCAGAAAAACAAGCTCCTGGGGGCTTGGCTGGGTCTCTGGATCTCTGTGCAAAGATAGTAAGAGTCCACAGCCAAGTCTGTGGACAGTTTTGCCATGCTGCAGAAATGGCAGGAGTCGGGAAGGCCAGCCTGGCCCCTGGGATAGAGATGGGGCAATGGGGATCTTCTGAGCAAGTATGGGGAAGGAATGAGTCCATCAGGGAACCTGGGATCAGACATCTGGAGTCAAGGCCAAACATGCTGAGATGCCACTTTAGAGGGGCCCAGAGGCTCAGAAGACAGACCTACTAAGGTCTTAATGTGTCAGAGGGCCCTGAGGGAAGAAGACTGAGGATACCTACTGTAGGATGACATGAGGAAGCCTGTGTTCACCTTCCTGGTCGTGCTGAAGTTGGGCTCGATTTCATTTCCCTTGGGGTCAAATTTACGGCAGTGGATACAACTGGGCCGAATGTACAGCACGTAGTAGCGTTCCTGGGGCCAGGGAGAGACAGAGTGAGGAGGGCTGCTCAACTTCCCACCAACACACACACTCTGGGCTCTGGGAGCAGCTTGCGCTGTCCTTGCCCTCTATGCTGGCGTCGAACTCAAATATTTATTCATTCCTGAGAATGAATAAAAATAGAGCACCTGCCACAGGGTGCACCCTGCTGGAAGTCTATGATAGGGAAGGCCAGGGTCTGACCCCAGGGCTTCCAAACAGCCAAAGACTGAAAATATATGCAGGAAACTGTAACTTAAGCTAGAGGGATATCAAATATCAAAAAGCAGGAGTACTGTGAAAAGGGCACTGAAGGGGAGCCCTTAGGAAGGACAGCCACTCAGCCCCTTTCAACAGATGTAGTGCCTGTGGCAAAGGATTCTCAGCCTCCTGAGCCTCCGTTTCTCCTATCACTTGGTAACAGAGTGATGTCCCCTTTCAGGAGTGTTGTATGAGCCCAGTGACATCCTGGAGAAGGAAGCACAGTGCAAAGCAGGAAGTGCCCTATCAATGCTATTTGCCAACTATTCTAAACAAAACAGGTGGAAGAATTGTCCCCCTAAGCTGTAGAAACAGAGACCACTTCCTGGGAGAAAGAAGGAAAGGTAAGTCTCGAAAGGTGAAGAAATCTGTGGTGGTAGGAATAAGGGTGTCTGGGACAGGTACACAAAGTAAAGGTCAAGAGGCCCATGTGCATGTTTGAGCAACACAGGACACTGGGAGGCTCCTGGGAGCTCAGGCTGGGAAGACAAGTGGGGCTGATTTGAGACAGGCCTTGAGCTGGCATTTGGAGCTTGAATTTTATTTAGTAGACAAGAAGGAATCCTGAAAGATTTAGGGGCAGCAGTGAGACCCTCAGAGATGTCTTTCTGGAAACAATTTGGCAGCAGGCCAGGGATGAGCTTTGGGGGCAGCCAGAAGGCAGGAAGGCAGGTGTAAGGTTTTGTCAGAACAAGCTGAGGACCCATCAGAGGAGGGAAGACATAGAAAGGAGAAAAGAGGGGAGGGAAAAAAAATGGTTAGGTAAGAGCCCAGCAGGAGGTAGCACTGCTTACCTGGGTAGCAGGGAGGAGGCAACAGTGGGGGTTTGCAGGCCAGTGACTGGACAGGCTACTTACACTATCATCAGGAATGAGGAACTTGGTAGAGGCAAATTTGGAGAGGGGCTGGGCAAACACCCTGCCTGTGTGAGCACAGCAAAGGCAGACAAGTCCCACACCAGTGTGGGGGTACATCAGGCCAGGAGACTGGGCAGGCTGGCTTAGAGCTCTGGCCTGCTCAATGCTCAGTAAAGAGCTGAGAGTGCTGGCAAAGCCTCTTTGGGCATGAAAATAGTAGTGAACTGAGGCTTTTCTGTGGGATGTATAAGAGAAACAGGCTCCATGTAGGTACCAGGCCTCTGATCACACAGAGGGCATTTTGAGGAGCTGAGTTTTACAGACCAAGATAAGGTGATTAGCACATCTGTTTGGGGCTGTTTCAAAGAGGGGAGGAGCAAGGCTCTGTGGCACTTGCCTGTAATCCAAGCAACTCAGGAGGTTGAGGCAGAAAGATCGCAAGTTCAAGGCCAGCCTCAGCAACTTATAGAGACCTTATCTCAAAATAAAATATATAAAGAGTTAGGGATGTAACTCAGTGGTACAGTGCCTCTGGGTTCAATCCCTAGTAACAAAAAGAAAAAAAGAAAGAAAGAGAAAAAGAAATGCAGAACTAGTGCTCAGAAGAGACACAGGCTAGTATAGGATGGTGAATGCCAGGTGTGTCCATGGACACCTGAGATGGAGTGGTAATAAGGAGCATGATGCCGGGAAGCTGAGAAGACTAAGGCCAAAGGAGCATTTGTATGGGAACTGAAGGTCCAGGCAGCAACACAGACTTTACATTCTCGTTAGATTGGGTGGAAGGTCTGGTCTGTTTTCTCAGCTGTGACCCAGGCTTTTCTAGCAAGAACCAGGTACACCCCCTGTCTGCTACCCAGCACAGCCTTACCTGCCCTCTTTCTACTCACTGGTCCCACCTGATCTCTCCACCTGTTCTGTGAGTCCATCATTAAAGGGACTAGATCCCAAGTCAGAGCCCAGCAATAAGAAGATACCTCATGGGAAAGGACTGAGATGTTTCAGAGGGTAAGGGTGACCCTGTGAGGGCCACTAAGGACACATCCTCACCTTCTTGCCATGGGCATCTAAGATGCTATGCCGAGATACATCCACCAGTTCTCCCTCCAGCAGGACGCCATTCCCCCTGGGGATGAGAATGAAAGAAGGGGTGGTGGGTTTTGTCAGTCCTCAGGAAATAGCGATGACTCAAGTTCAGTGGCCCATGCCAGAGTCTGCATTGCGACAGAACCAAATCCCACCAGATCTCCAATTTGCCTGGCAGAGAGCAGCCCCTCTCTGCACTTCCCATATGGGAACCTCCATCCCTATAAAGCTTCCAAAAGCTGGGACATGGTCCAAAGTATAGAAGGAGCCATGTCAGCCTGCCCTAAGACCAAGCTATGACCCCCTGCATTAGGGAGTCATATTATCTTATTAGTCTTCTTATCTACAAAACAGAGAGAAAAATGGTTACCTCACATTGCTCCTTTGATGATGGCATGAGATTGTGTACACGAAAGTATTTTGTTGATCAGGAGTGTTTTAGTATAAACAAACATTTAATAAGTTTTGGTTTCTTAAGTTTTAATTCAGTGTGGTCTGTGTCTAACATGTTTACATACATATCAAAGTCTTGGAATTGTATCACAAGAGGGAAGAAACTCAATTTGCCACATATACCAAAAACTATTGTAAATTTCTATATAAAGAATAAAAGAGAGGTCTGGGGTTGGGGCTCAGTGGTAGAGTCGTCACCTAGCATGTGTGAGGCGCTGGGTTCCATCCACAGCACCACATGAAAATAAATAAAGTTATTGTATCCATCTACAACTAAAGAAAAAAAAAAGAATAAAAGAGAGGAGATCCAAGATGGTGGACTAGAGGGAAGCTGCATTCCTCGTCTCACCGTGATTTGGGATACAAGCAAAGGAAATACTGTTTCTGTGAGAGTTGCTGCCCACCAATCCGCCACCGTTTGCCACCCCCATGCCTTTGCCACACACTGGGATTGCCTGCCATTTCCCAGCAGACCACCAGCCATTAGCCTGTGGATCGCCACTGCCCAATGCTGCCTGGAAGTCCACTGTCAGAGTACCTGCAGGTTTGGTTACAAGCAGCCACCACCATCTGCAGACACGGGCCAGGGCCTGGAAGTCCAGGGCCTAGGGACGTGCAGGTTTACTGCTGCCATCTCAGGGAACACTGGCCAGTCTGGGGATATGGGCCAGGACCTGAAGATCTATTCTCAGTGTACCTTCAGGTCTTGTTGCACCTGAGGGCTCCCTGCTGCGTGTGCTAGTGGCCACCATTTGGATGCCTTTTTTACAGGGTTGCTCCTTTGTGTGAGTGCATCCCTGGTGGTTCCCTCTGCAAGTTAAAAGAGCATTGATATCTTGGGACTGCAGCAAGGCAGAGCCTGGGGAATCTGAAGCCCAAATGCCTTAGATTGTGGCTGGGTCTGTGTGGCCCAGACTGGGCTTGGCAAGCCTGTGAAAAGCTGGAGACTGGGGGCAGGATCTGGGGGAAGCACAGGTTGGAGAAACTAGAGAGAACCAGGCTCTCTCCACCTCAGTGAGTCCTGAAGTGCAAGGGGATAGAAGGGGACAGCTACAATGGGTGCGAAGACTGGAAGAGGGTGCTATCAGCTCACCCAGCCAACCAGTCCAGCATCCACCAGAATGGAGCTACCATCAACTTTGACAACTATAACTATGGCAGAGAAGGGAAGCTAAGAAACTTTGGAACATGAATGGAAATGATTATTCAATATTCCATTGAGACTTTCCTCTTCTTCTTTTTTTTTTTCTTTTTTGGCCCTCTCTGTCTCATATCTCTACCATCTTTAAAACCAAACATTTTTCATGCATCAATTTATTGAGGAATGGGATGTCTGAATAGTACATTACATGTGTATTCTTATATTTTTACATTTAAAAAAAATCTACATATATTTCCTCTCACTTATTTGCCTCCCCTGATTCTCTTTCTCACTTCTCTCATGCTAACAGCCAACTTCTATTAATTCCTCCTTCGCTCTTACTATAAATTTTTACCTCTATCTTCTCTCCATCTCCCTCATAAATATCACATCCTACACTACTTCTGTTCCCTCTTTGTCCATCAATTGAAACAGTAAACCCTTTAAGCAAACTTACTGTTTATACTGTAGATAATAATTAAATGGCTCATTTCTGTTTATTGCAACAAAACTATAGATGCCTTAATAGGAGCTATTTGATATAAGGCTGTATATTGCTTGTATGGGTATGGTTAATATTGGTGTCCTCCTTAAAGGTGAGGTACTGGAAACCTTCATGGACACTCTACGATTGCAGGGTAGAAACTGTACTGCCTCAGATCCATAAAACTAGATGGGAAGACAACATGAAACATGAACAAACAAGGGGAAAAACCATCTCAACAAACCAAGATGTTCCAACAATAGAATCCATAGACAATACAGTACAAGAAATGTCAGTAGGAGTTTAGAAGGTGCATAGTTAGGATGATCTTCAAAATGAGGTATAGATAGTATCAGAGAGAAAGTACAGGAAGTGAAAGAACACTTCAATAAAGAGGCAGATATAATAAAAAGGAATCAAGGAGAAATCCTCAGATTGAAGGAAACAATAAACCAAATTAAAAATTCAATGGAAAGTATCCCAATAGACTAGACCTCTTGAAGACAGAACCTCAGTCAAGGAACACCAAATATTTACTTTTGAAAATAAAGTTGACTGTACAGAGAAGATAATAAGAAATCATGAACAGAACATCCAAGAATTCTGGGATAACATAAAAAGACCAAATTTAAGATTTATTGGGATAGACAAAGTTGTGGAGATACAAACCAAAGGAATGCACAATCTTTTCAATGACGTGATATCAGAAAATTTCCCAAATCTAAAGAATGAAATAGAAAATCATCTATAAGAGGCTTTCGGGACCCCATAGGTACAAAATTACAGCAGACCCACACCAAGGCACACTATAATGATCATGAATAACAGATAGAAAGAGGATAGACTTTTAAAAGTTGCAAGAAAAAAATGTCAAATTACATATAGGGGGAAACAAATTTGGATCTCAGCTTATTTCTCAGCCCAGACCCTAAACACCTGGAGGTCCTGGAATAATATTTATCAAGCTCTGAAAGAAAATGGATGCCAACCAAGAACTGTAGATCCAGCAAAGCTAAGCTTCAGATTTGAAGATGAAAGAAAAACCTTTCATGATGAACAAAAGTTAAAAGAATTCACTATTAGAAAAACTGTGCTACAGAACATTCTTAGCAAAATATTGCATCAGGAAGAAATGAGAAAAAAAAATGAAAACCAGCAAAGGGAGGAACTACACTAAAGGAAAAGTCAGTCAGAGGAGAAACTAAGACAAGTTAAAAACCAAAAATAAACCAAAATGACCAGGAATACAAATCATATCTCAATAATATCCCTGAGTGTTAATGGCTTAAGCTCATCAATCAAAAGACATGGACTAGAAGATTGGATTTTTACAAAAGAACCAACAATATTCTGTCTTCAAGAGACTCACCCTCTAGGAAAAGACATCCACAGACCGTTGAAGGTGAAAAGTTAAGAAAAAACATATCACTCATATGGACTGCATAAACAAACAGGGGGTTCCATCCTCATATCAGATAAAGTGAACTTCAAGCCAAAGTTAGTCAGAAGGGATAAACAAGGACATTTCAGACTGTCTAAGGGAATCCATACATCAACAGGACATTACGATTGTAAATATTTATGCCCCCAACCATGGAGCATCTACATACATCAAACAAACCCTTCTCAATCAAGAATCAAATAGACCACAACACAATAATACTGAATGACCTTAACACACCTCTCTCACTACTGGATAGATCTTCCAAACAAAAACTAAACAAAGAAACTATAAACTAGATAATACAATCAATAATTTAGACTTAACAAACATATATAGAGCATTTCATCCTTCAAGCAGCGAATATACTTTCTTCTCGGCAGACATGGATCCTTCTCTAAGAGAGACCATATGTTATGCCACAAAGCAACTCGTAGCAAATACAAAAACGTAGAAATATTACCCTGCATTCTATCAGATCATACCAGAATGAAACTAGATATCAACAATAAAATTAAAAATAGAAGCTACTCCAACAATTGGAGACTAAATAACACTCTATTGAATGACAAATGGATAGCAGAAGAAATCAGAGAGGAAATAAAAAAAATGCTTAGAGGTAAATGAGAACACCAATACAACATATCAAAATCTCTGGGACACTAAGAAGGTAGTGCTAAGAGGAAAATTCATTGCATTGAGCTCATTCATTAAAAGAATAAAAAGTCAACAAATAAATGACCTGACATTACATCTCAAAGCCCTAGAAAAAGAAGAGCAAATCAACAGCAAAAGCAGTACAAGACAGGAAAGTATTAAAATCAGCTGAAATCAATGAAAATGATACAAACAAACAACAACAACAACAACAAAAATTCAAAACATTGACAAAACAAAAGGTTGGGTCTTTGAAAAAATAAATAAGATTGATAAACCCTTAGCTATGCTAATAAAGAGGGAGAAAACTCAAATTACCAATACTCATGATGAAAAAGGAAATATCACAATGGACACTACTGAAATACAGAAGATAATTAGAAACTACTTTGAAAATTTATACTTCAATACAACAGAAAATTTCAAAGACATTGACAAATTTCTAGAGACATATATTATTCAAACTGGATCAGGAGTTTAACAATTTAAACAGATCAGTTTCAAGCAATGAAATAGAAGACGCCATCCAAAGCCTACCAACCAAGGAAAGTCTAGGATCAGACAGATTCTCAACCAAGTTCTATAAGACCTTCATAGAAAAATTAACACCAATACTCCTCAAATTATTCCCTGAAATAGAAATGGAAGAAACCCTTCTAAACTCATTCTATGAAGCTAGTACCACCCTGATACCAAAACCAAAGACACATCAAGGAAAGAAAACTTCAGACCAATATCCCTGAGGAACATAGATACAAAAATTCTCAATAGAATTCTGGCAAATCACATACTAAAACATATAAAAAAGATAGTGTGCCATGATCAAGTGGGGTTCATCCCAGGGATGCAAGGTTGGTTCAATATACAGAAATTAATTAACATAATTCATCACATCAATAGATGTGATGACAAGAATCATATATATGATAGATGCAAAAAAAGCATGACAAAATACAGCACCCGTTCTTGTTCAAAACACTAGAAAAACTATGCACAATAGAAACATCTCAATGTTTTACAAACATACATTATAAAAGCTATCTATGCTAAGCCCAAAGCCAACATCATTCTAAATGGAGAAAAATGGAAAAAGCATTCCCTCTAAAAACTAGAACAAGATAAGGATGCATGCTCCCACCACTTCTATTCAACATAGTCCTTGAAATTCTTGCCAAAGCAATTAGAAGAAAGAAGTTAAAGTAATATGAATAGGAAAAAAGGAACTCAAACTATCACTGTTTGCCAATGATGTGATTCTATATTGAGAAGATCCAAAAAATTCCACCAGAACACTTCTAGAATAAATGAATTCAGCAAAGTAGCAGGATATAAAACTAATACCCATAAATCAAATGTATTTCTATATATCAGTGATAAATCCACTGAAAAAGAATTAGGGAAACTATTCACAGTAGCCTCAAAAAAATAAAATCCTTGGGAATCAATCTAACAAAAGAAGTGAAAGACCTCTACAATGAAAACTACAGAACACTAAAGAAAGAAATTGAAGAAGACCTTAGAAGACGGAAAGATCTCCCATGTTCTTGGATAGGCAGAATTAGTATTGTCAAAATAGCCACACTACCAAAAGCGTTATACAGATTTAATGCTATTCCTATGAGAATCCCAATGACATTCTTCATAGAACTAGAAAAAGCAATCATGAAATTCACTTAGAAAAATAAGAGACCCAGAATAGCCAAAGCAATCCTTACCAAGAAGAGTGAAGTAGGAGGTACCACAATACCAGAGCTCAAACTCTATTACAGAGCTATTCTAACAAAACAATATGGTATTGGCATCAAAATAATTGGCACCAAAATAGACCAATGATAAAGAATAGAAGATACAGAGACAAACCCACACAAATACGGTTATCTAATACTAGACAAAGCCACCAAAAACATACATTGAAAAAAAGATAGCCTCTTCAACAAATGGTGCTGGGAAAACTGAAAACACATATGTAGCAAAATGAAATTAAACCCTGTCTTACTCTACACAAAACTCAACTCAAGGTGGATCAAAGACAGGCACTAGAACAGAGACCCTGTGCCTAACAAAAGAAAAAGTAGGCCCAAATCTGCATCATGCCTGCTTAGGACCTGACTTCCTTAACTAGACACTTACAAGCACAACAAGTAAAATCAAGAATCAATAAATGGCATGGATTCAAACTAAAAAGCTTCTTCTCAGAAAAGGAAACAATCAATAACTTGAAGAGAGATCCTACAGAATGGGAGAAAATCTTTATCACACATATTTCAGGTAGAGCACTAATCTCCAAGATATACAAAGAATTCTAAAAACTTAACAGAAAAAAAAAAGTCAATAAATGGGCTAAGGAACTGAACAGACACTTCATAGAAAAAGAAATACAACTGATCAACAAATATTCATATATTCATAAAATGTTCAACATCTCTAGTGATTAGAGAAATGCAAATCAAAGGTACTCTAATTTTTCGTCTCACACCAGTCAGAATGGCAATCATCAAGAATACAAGCAATGATAAATGTTTATGAGGATGTAGGGAAAAAGGCACACTCATACATTGCTGGTGGGACTGCAAATTGGTACAGCCAATGTGGAAAGCAGTATGGACATTCATCAGAAAACTGGGAATAGAACCACCATTTGACTCAGCTATCCCACACCTCTGTTTATACCCAAAGGACTTAAAATCAGCATACTACAGTGATGCACCTATATCAATATTTATAGCAGCTTAATTCACACTAGCTCAACTAAAAAACCAACCTAGATGTCCTTCAACAGATGAATGGATGAGAAAATACGGTGCACATACGTAATAGCATATTACTCAGCCTTAAAGAATGAAATTATGGCACTTTCAGGTAAATGGATGGAGGTGGAGAATATCATGCTAAGCGAAATAAGCTAAGGCCAAATGTTTTCTCTGATAAGCGGATGCTGATCTATAATTCACACAGGGGATGGAGGTAGGGAAAATGGAGAAACTTTGGATTGTGAAGTGGGGTGTGAATGAAGGGGAGGTGGTTTGAAGGTGGGAAGGATGGTGGAATGAGACAGACATTATGACCCTATATACATGTATTATTACAGGACCAGTGTGACTCTGCATCATGTAAGGCCAGAGGGAGAAGTTGTGCCCCACTTGTGTATAATGTCAAATGCATTCTGCTGTCATGTATAACTAATTAGAACAATTTTTTTAAAAAATAAAAGAATAGTTTCTAAAACAGAGAGAAAAAGAAAAAAGAAAGTATTTTGTAAACTTTAAGTGCTTACTAAATATAAAGAATTTACTTTTTACTTTAAGCAAATTTGGGGCCTGTGTCTAAGCTCCTATAAATTATCTTCCATTTTCACCTATTTTGAAACAGTTCCATATTTTTGTTCTCATTCATACCCATGTGATCATCAACCCAAAGAAATGGGTTTTGTCACTATAGAGGTGGGGAACTTGATTAAGTTTGGAGACCAGCTGAAGATCAGAGGGTACCGCCCTCTGAGGAACTGGATCCTCCTCCCCACTCCTGATTCTAGTTTTCATAAAAGCAGATCCTAGGGGCTTCCTTTTTTAGAATCATATAAAAAGGAAAGGAGTGGGCACCACTAAAGATGATAGTGGAAAGGGATGGGACAAGAAGCAAAAACTCACACTACCTCACTTGCCTCTATCTACTCCCTCCCCCCAAATTATATTTTAAAATATTTTTTTTTTTTTTTTAAATATTTATTTATTTTTTTAGTTCTCGGTGGACACAACATCTTTGTTTGTATGTGGTGCTGAGGATCGAACCCGGGCCGCACGCATGACAGGCGAGCGCGCTACCGCTTGAGCCACATCCCCAGCCCATTTTAAAATATTTAACTGATAAAGAATTGTATATATTCAAGGTGTATAATGTAGTAACTTTATATACATACACATTGTGTAATGATAATAACAATCAAATTAACAAACACATCCATCACCACCCATGCAGTACATTAGATCCCCAGAACTTGTTCCTCATATAAATCAAACCTTTTGATTATATCCTGGCTTCCTCCTTCTCCCCTTCTCCAATCCCCCATTCCTGAAAACCTCCGATCCTCTCTCTGCTTCTGAGTTACACTTTTTTAGATTCCACATAGAAGATTCTAAGGTATTTGCCTTTCTGAGTCCAGTTGATTACGCATAGCATAATTCTTTGGTGTCTGTAATTGTAAATGGAATGAGTAATGCTTCTCATAACGCCGGGCCGGGCAGGGCCTTCCTTCTCCAGCCCGCCGGGGTTCCTCCACACCCGGCTCCAGGGCTGTTCCTGCGCTAGCCCAGCCCATAATACCGACTCCCACCGCTGTTCCGGTCACTAATGGCCACCGTCCCTTCTGGGGCAGGGCACAAGCCTATGCAAAGGCCTGGAAGCACAGCAGCATGACAAATGGCTGAAATTTATAGCCAACTGAAGCACCGCCTTTGGAGCCTTGTTTGGAGGTCGGGATTCACTCCCCGCTGGTGTGCGGACAGGCGGGGAGTTTTAGGAGGACCCGCATCTTCTGGGGTTCGGGGGGCGCAGTGGGCAGGGGCACTGGGAGGCGTGGACTGGAGGCCCGAAAGGCGGCTCGGGCAACCGGGCTTTTCCTCCCCCCTCGCGTCCCACCCCAGCCTCGGAGCGGGGTTCAGACCCCAGGAGTGGAGGCAGCCGAGGCCGCGCGCCCAGGCCCCGCGCGCAGTCTACCCGCGGGGGCGGCGGGGACCCGGCGCGGGCTTGGCGCTCACTGCCTACCCCTGGTAGGTGGCGGGGTCCCAGGCCCCGGGCAGTCGCGCGCTCTGCACCGCCTTGTTCCGGAGGGCGCTGTCGTGATAGATGCGGCTCATTATTCCGACCGCCGAGGCCACCGGGTGCGGTGCTGGGAGCAGCGGGCGCACCCGGGGTGCACAACGCGGGGAGGCGCCAGGAGGCCGCGCCGGGATCAGCACCGCCAGGCCCTCAGGTCCCGACCGCGCGGCTCGGCCTTGGGCGTTCCCGGCCGGGATTTAAAGGGGCCGAACTCCACTCCCGCCCGCCACTCGCTGCGCGGTGCGGGAGCGAGGAGGGGGGTTACGGAAGCACTCGAGGCTAGGGGCTTATCACCAGTCACGTCCTTCTCTTCCTTCTCTTTGCTCTCCTCGTTTTGCTTTCCTCGTTACTAAAAAGGAAATTCCTGCCCCAGCGCACACACAAAGGGGGAAATTGAGGCCCAGAGATCCTACAGGATCTTTCTTAGGATCAGCTCTGGATGGATGTTTTTCCAGGGATCAGGAATGGGGAAGAGGGAAAAGCCCTTAGGGAGGAAAGAGTGGTCAGCAAAGAAGCAACCTTTTCTGCCGGGTCCGCAGTCCCACAATAGCTGGGGGAGGAGTTCCAGGGATCAATGACGAAGGAGTCTGGGATTGGGTGTCAGACTAAGACACACGGAAGTTTGGATCCCTGCCGTAGGTGAGAGCTTGGTTAAGTTCCTCAGCCTTTCTGAGCCCTCGCTTCTTTGTAGAATGGATCAGTATCAGAGCGGTTCTAAAAATGCATTACCTTTCTGTAGCGTGCTTTATCCGCCCACCAGCCCTCTTCCCACACAGTTCCTGGTCTCCTCCGACCCTGGGATTGTTGGGAAGCCTTAACTCTCTGCTTTGGCCGGTTCGTGGCAGTCCCTGGGGCAAACGGGCTCATTCCAGGGATCCAAGTATGCCCTTTGGGAGAACACTGAAAGGGGACGCAACCAAGCAGACACCTGGGAGGATGAGCTGTCAATGTTGGAAGAAACATCCTCTCCCACACACAGGACATTCGTGAATCCCAGGCACTTTAGCTTTCAAGAGCCCCTTTCCTCCATTAAGAGTTTTTTTAAATTCTATTTTAGCACTGGGTTAGTATAAGAATGAATATATTAATATTATATATTAAAACTTTTATTCAGCCTAAATTTTTTTAAAAAGAAATTAATGTGGGCACCGGTGGCCCCTGCCTTACTCCAGCTACTCAGGAGACTGAAGCAAGAGGATAGTAAATTTGAAGCCAGGCTGAGCAACTTAGAAAGATCCTGTCTCAAAAAAATAAAAATAGAGGGGCCTGGGATGTGGCTCAAGCGGTAGCGCGCTCGCCTGGCATGCGTGCGGCCCGGGTTCGATCCTCAGCACCACATACAAAAAAAAAAAGCAAAGATGTTGTGTCCGCCGATAATTAAAAAATAAATATTAAAGAAATAAAAATAGAAAAGCCTGGGAATGTAGCTCCTGGTAGAGTGTGCCTGGGATCAATACCCAGTACTAGAAAAAGAGAGAAGAAAGAAAAAGAAAAAAGGCCCCTAAAACTACAATGGGACCTAGGCATTGTATCCAATGGATTAGTCAGCCCCACCCTCTATCTGGCCTACCTGGTTGTTCAGTTCATGTTCCAGAAAGAAGGATAAAGAAAAGACCTACTGGGTAGAATGGTCCTTTGACCTTGTCTCCTCAACAGTCTCCCAGCTAATGGGCAGGCTGAGGCAGGAGGATGAAGTTCTGAGGCCAGTCTGGGGAACTTAGCAAGACCCTGTCTAAAAATAAAAATACCTGGGAATGGAACTCAGTGTTAGAGTGCATGCCTAGCATGTGTGAGGCCCTGTGTTCAGTCTGTAGCCCTCTAAAAATAAATAAGTAGAGATACTTTAATTAAACCTAAAAATTTTAATTCAATTTTTTAGTCCCACTGGCTGCATTTAAGTGCTTCACAGCAACATGTGGTTAGTGGCTACCATTTTAGACAGCACAAATGCAGAACTTTGTAATCCTCGCAGAAAATTCTATGGACAGGGCTGCCCTAAGTCCTTTCTTATAAAACAGTTATCTCCTTATTAGGCTCTACAAATTCACCCCATTAACACAATCTACAGGCCAGGCATCAGCAAGGCAGAGGAACCTAATAGAACAAGAAAAAAACTTTTTTAAAGTTTTTGATATTTATTTTCTTAAATTGATTGTTTTGAGGGAAACAATCCAGAACTTTGATGGATTTTCTTTAGATAATTTACATTTATAAATGTCTTTCTGTTAAATTATAAACCATTGCACCAGGCATGGAGGTACCCACCTGTAATCCCAGTGATTCAGGAGGCTAAGACAGGAGGATCAAAAATTCAAGGTCAGCCTCAACAATTTAGCAAGACCCTATCTCAAAATGAAAAATAAAAAGGGCTGGGATGAAGTTCAGTGGTTAAATGCCCCTAGGTCCCCAATATCAAAAATAAATGAATAAATAAATAAGGTCAAGGATGTGACTCAATGGTAGAGCACTCCTGAGTTCAATTCCCAGATGATGATGATGATAATAATAATAATAAACCAAGAGGTACACCATGGAGAAAATTATAAAGTTATCTAAAGTTAATACTATATAACATTTGAATCTTGCTGCTGATTGACACCACTTGCTGTGATTTTTGCCATCATCACACTTTCTTTTACAATTTTGTCTTTTTATATTATTAGCAGAAGCAGATTTATAGGTGGAAAGATTTAAACCTCCAATCCCTCAGTCCACGTTTTTTTTTTTTTTTTGGTGGCGGTGGTACTGGGGATTAAACTCACATCTCATATGCACTTTACCACTGAGTTACATCTTGTTTTATTTTTCAATTTTGAGACAGGGTCTCACTAAACTGCCCAGACTGGCCTTGAACTTTTGATTCTCCTGCTGCAGCCTCCCAAGTTGCTGAAATTACATGCATGTAATGCATGGACCCACCATGGACCTCTTTTGAGAACAGCAATGGATGAACCTTACAATAGGGTCACATCAGCATGTGCTTTTGTAAAATTTTCATATATAAGGTAGTTTCACATCAATCAGTTAAGATCACCATCTCTTTTTGCCCAGAATTCTCCTTTGCCTCATGTAGGTTGATGGGGGAATGAGATCTAAGTGAGGGGACATTGATGTGGATGTGTTTAGTGTGGGTTCAATGGAATCAATTCATGTGGTCTGTAGTCTTTCCACCTTAGTGGAAGATTGCCAGCCATCTTAGTGTAGGGATTCACTACCCCGCTCTGAGATGCCTTACCTGGTACAGGGCACAAAAAAGGTGATTCATCACAGTAGAAACGTGCCCTACAGTGCCCAGCACTGAGACTTTGTGGGTAATAAAGAAGAAACAAGATGTGAAATATAAAGAGCCAGAAGCTGGTATGTAGAAATTTATTCCAGTCACTAGACAGGTGAAACTGTAAGTGAAGGATATGTTTCTCATTAACCCTAGTCCAAATCAAAATTCTCTCAGGAATGCTCTCATTAAAGTGGTGTATGTAATTACAAGCACACCAACCTTTCTGTTTCCCTTTCTCTGGTCATTGGGCAAAATAAAATTCATCAGGATTCCTGTGGAGGGAACACAGAAAACAATAAAGCAAACAAGAAGAGCATTTGTGTGTGGATTTGTAGGTTTCATGCATCAGATCACATCTTAACATATCTGACACATCTTGTCTTGACAAAGTCTGGTGGTTCCAGAAGAAACAGCTTGCTAAATTGCCATCAATGCAGTGAAACAGCCTGCAGAATATACACATCCACACCACAGAGTAAAAGATACAAAACAAAGGAAGCACTCGAGAGAGAAAGCATGACATAAAATAAGATGCCAGAAGGAGAACCAAACCTATTCATCATGCCACATCAATAAAGGCAAATGAAATAAACCTTGTTTGGAAAGAAAATCTATAATATGCCTTTCAATTGGACATCTTCTGTGCCTCTAAGTGTCACATTTCTGCAGGTCTGTCCTGGCCTCTCTGTAGTGACCAATGTGGCTTTACCATCCACTGACTTCACATAGAAACAACACTCCATGCCTCACTTCTTGGTCACTTTACCCCTAAGACAGATGGTCCCAAGAGTGTTGCTAGAAAAAAGACTCCTAGGACAGGATTGTGAAACTGAATTGCTTTCTGTTTTGATGGAATAGGGGCATTCTAACTAATGGTGAGTGAGTGCTGATCACTCTTGGCATAAAGTAGCATCAAAATTACTAAGGTTGTCACCTCTGGCTAGTTGGGGTGAGGTGTAGGTGGAAGGTGAAATTGGGCTGGAAAATGGAGTGCCTGTGGCACTTGTCTGATATGGGGGTAATGATCATTAGAAGAAATATAGAGTAGGCCAACTTTTTTTAAAAAAATATATTTTTTAGTTGTCAATGGGCCTTTATTTTTATTTATATGTGGTGCTGAGAATGGAACCCCCGTGCCTCACACATGCTAGACAAAGGCTCTACCACTGAGTCACAACCCCAGCCCCAAGGCCAGCTTTTTTGGGGGGTGGAGCCACATCTCCAGCCTTATTTTGTATTTTATTGGAGAGACAGGGTCTCACTGAGTTGCTTAGTGCCTGGCTTTTGCTGAGGTTGGCTTTGAACTCAAGATACTCCTGCCTCAGTCTTCTGAGATACTAAGATTATAGGTATGCACCACCGCACCTTGCTGTTTGCAGGTTTTTTTAGATAAAAAAAAAAATTGTATTTACTTAGAAGCATTTAGAATATCAACGATTGAAACTTTATTTTTGCAATTACAGAGTGATATTCAGTTAAAAGAAGAACAATTATCTCATATAAGCTGCATCAGAGACAACTGAAGATGAAAAACTACTGTCCCCATATATAACTAATTTGTGCTGGGCACCAACAAGAACTTGTTTTAAATTTCCAAGCCAATTTACAACCCCCATCCTGTACCAGGCAAGGTTAGTGGTGAGTGAAAATACCACCAGGACAGAGCTATCTAAAGATGCATTCAGTAGTGTGTTATCTATACAAAAAAAAATGACATTGTACAGTGTAAAAACAAATCTTACACAGCCTTGCATTTCAATTTTTTTTCTTTAAAAGGAGTGAGTTGTGTACAGGAGGGTTAAATGTTTTATAGAAAAAAAAATGCGCTAGAACCAACTTATTCATCCTCATCATCTTCTTCATCTTCCTCCTCTTCCTCCTCTTCCTTCTTTTTCTTGCTTTCTTCAGCCTTGACAGCTCCCTTTCTTGCTGCATCAGGTTTTCCTTTAGCTCGGTAGGCAGCAATACCCTTTTTGGATTTTTTCTTCAGTGGGGCAGTTTTGTTTTCGAAGGCTGCTTGTCATCTGCAGCAGTGTGATTCCACATCTCACCCCGTTTCTTTGCAGCATCACCAATGGATAGGCCAGGGTGTTCTCCCTTGATGTGGGGGCAATACTCAGAACAGAACAAGAAGAAGGCCGAAGGAGGCCTCTTGGGTGCATTGGGATCCTTGAACTTCCTGTTTGTTTCCCCTTTGGAGGGATATAGGTTTTCATTTCTCTT